GAATTTCTTCGAAACGGGCTCTTTAGTGGTATCGCGTTGATATATCGCAGTCTTAGTGAGCCAATATATTTGCGACAACGCGAGAGAAAAAAGTTCAAGAGTGAGAGGACAGTCGACGTTTTCAATACGGATTTTTGTTTACCAACAGGTGAGCGTACGCTGTGATTTCGTCCGCTTCCGCATTGGTCTTTTTATGCGGGAGGGCCGAGTATGGGCATATTGCGGTGCACACTCCATCGCGGTCGCTTCCTATTATAGTCGCTGTGGGTTAGAGGAAGAAGAAAATGACGCATTTGTAAATGGGCCCTGCAAAACATTTTGTACATGGTCAGAAAACGCTACCGAATGATTCTGTGGGAATTTTCAGCGAAGTTGTTCTCTCTCTATCTCCCGATCAGTATTCGAGGCTATCGAAAACAGGCGAGCCCAGCGTTATAGCGCAGTACGCAGTCTGGAGATTACAATAAATTCTCAAAGTCAACTAAAAATATGGCTTTCTCTTCATTCAACTAATGACGCTTCAGAATCAAATATCACTACGTCACAGGCCCATTGTCAGCCATTGGTTGATGTTGGTGGTTACCATGGGCATCTCTTCTTTCAACTGATGACGCTACGGAATCAATTATCACTGCGTCACAGGCTAATTGTCAGCCATTGGTTGATGTTGGTCGTTACTATGGGCATCATTTACAAGACGTGATACAGGCCGTGATTTGTCCACGTGTGTGTGTGTTATCGCACTTAAAAGTCTCGCATTCGAAGAAAAAAAAGAAGAAAAAATGCTCAAAGTCACAAGGTGTGCGTGACGTATTTTCTTCCTCCGTTTCATCGGTCCCTGCTTAACTTCCGGTGCTTTAATGTGGACGAGAGAAGAGTGAATGTAAGTGCAGCGTCTGACAAATCTTTTCAGCTCCGCTCGTATACATACCGGACAGATTTTAAAAGTTTTTGCGGTAGTGAATTCGTGAGGCAATAAGCTCTTTTAGTGAATCCATTTCATGGCTTGGAAAATCGTAGCAGGGCCCTTTTGAGCACTCTGAGAAAATTTATTGTGCAAAGTTTTCACATATATCATGAAATTACTTTACATCACCGCAGTCCCCGCATTATCTACCTATCACCCTGTAAATCACTGTCGTATAGGCTGAACAAATTTTTTGGAGCTGACACCAAATCGGCACCTTGATTTGCCACTTCATCAATTTCCATATTCATCGAGGTGACGCATTTCCCAATGTTCCTCGCTGCTCGAGTGTTCGTGCCGACTTTAATCGCGCATATTGTCATCGGCCAAGCAAGCCAAATCTCCCGTTGCGGGAACAAAGAGACTGGAGCGAAGGGAGGCTGCTTTGCGCAGTTCTCGGCCTGACGACCTCCGAATCGCATGCTGGGCCATGAGCATCACATAGAGTGGTGGCCTGAGTGTTCATTTACTTTAGTGGACTGCACTTGTGAGCATCAGGCTGCAGTGCTTAGGCACTGAAGTTTGATCCCTTTGTTGAGCAGGTGATTCCGTTCATTTTTTATCTTTCTTATTATTGATGTGAGCTCTATCGCCGTGGCATCAAAACGCATCTTGACCAGGAAAGTTCGGTTCGAAATATTCACCGAGAAACGTATGTTTCGACAACTGCTGAGGGTTTCTCGATGTGAATGCACTAAGGGAAAAAATGAGGGTACTTTGCACTAAGTCGCGCAAAGCTTGGCCCAGCGAAGCATATAGGCCCGTCGCCGCTCCCCTGCGTCAGCCGGCACATCTAGCTTCGAGATGGGCAGCTTCCTTCTCGGGAGTACGCAGTTTCCTAAAACGCCGCATGACTCTTGGACATCATCGGGCGCAGCCTACAGCTTCGTGTAGAGCTGAGGTTGTGCGCGATGTATCCGTCGGTGGGCGTGGCTTAGCTACTGCGCATGCGCGGCTTAGTCATCAGATGATGTGATCCTTGCTTCCTCTTTCTATTTATCTCTCTATTTGGAGGGGTCAAACTTCTTTTAGTCTAACCTTGTCCTGCGTCAGGTGTAACCGTCAGTATCTCACGAGCCACGGTGGCTCGTCGTCAGACAGACAGACGGACGAACTGGCAGGCAGACACGGTCACGTACCAAGATATCCAAGAGATGTACAGACACTAGTTTTTTTGTTTGTTTTTTTTGAGCTTCGCGCCTAAAACACGATGTATGCTTGGGCTTCGCCTTCCAGAGCAGAACGCGATAGCGTAATTGCACCTTGTGCGCACCGCACCGCCTTCTCAATTGCTCGCTCCTTCGGTTCTCGGTGCATCCCTCAACCGTTCCGTTAAGAAACAAACTAACTTTGGCCGTTTTCAAGGTATATCTGAATACCTTCTACAAGCACGGCTGTTAAGTGCCCACGACGGCTTAATTATTCCTTTTAGAAATCAGAGGGGGGGGGGGGGCACTACGTGATTGTAAGGAACACGCGCGCCTACGCAGCTGTTTTTTATGTGTCTGCTGCTACTGATGAATAAATATGCCTTAGTGCTTTGTCAGGAGTGGACATTTGAAACACCTGCCTGGTGGCGCAGTTCCCGTATTTGGCAGCTGGCGTGATCCTACGCCTATGCCACGCATGCGTCAAGGAGACGCCTTCCTCCACATGAATTCATATAGTGTTCTTTTTTAAGGCAGTTTAAAAATATACATATTATGGCTCTGGGGTAGAGCAACTGCTTCCCGCGTAGACCACATGAAGACGGCGCCGATGGCTACTATACCCGGCCAGCGGCTTCGTCTTCCGTTGGTAGGTGTATCAACTATTAACAATTCTTTATTCAGCCTTCCTAGTCAAAAGATCTTCAGTCTCTGCGAGATTACACAAAACAGTGAGACTTAAAGTTACAATTATTCATAATTAACGTTACATTAAAAAGTCATCTCAAAATTATTTTAGCTCTTACTAAATATTAATCATAAATTTAGTATGTATGATCGGCCTGACTCATGGCCGATCCGCCAGAGTGGGTAGGTGCCAATGATTCAAGGAGCATCATCATCATCTTCTTCTTCCGGCCGTAGCGGTAAGCGGCCGTAGTCCTGTTGCTGTCCCTTCGGTTCAGTGCTCACTCGGGTACGAGAACTTTTCTTATTTATTTTATTGGCATCTTTCATGACTTCTTGGTCATGGACAAGGTGGACATTTTTCGCTCTAAACCAACGACGCCGTCGCCGAAATTTGCGCGAAATGATCTCTTTAACGCTATCGCGTTTATAAACCCGTCTGAAAAATTCACAGTGCGAACGTTGTCGTGGTGGTCTTTCCGCCATACATCGCTCACAGCTCTGGGCGCTCCGAATGCGCCGGATCACGCGTTTTCGTGGGCGTTTTTGAATTTCTGAGTCATAGACCTCGACTCAATTGCTTCATGGTGCAATAAATGGCTCATGCCCCTAAACATAGATAAGTGCAAATCATTATCATTTACCCGTAAGCGTGCCGTACTTGCCAACATATATTCTATTAACGCCATGCCCATAGCTTCCGTATCATGCTACAAATATCTTGGCGTCCACTTGACTTCATCGCTATCCTGGACCACCCACATCGATTCCATCTGCTCTACAGCATCCCGTACACTCGGCTACCTTCGACGCAACCTGAAGTGCGCATCCCCCGACGTAAAAAAACTAGCTTTCATCACCTTCGTACGACCTAAACTTGAATATGCTTCAGCAATCTGGCATCCTTCACAAGCCTACCTAACAACTAAATTAGAGTCCATCCAAAATCGCGCAGCTCGCTTCATATCTTCGCAATACTCACACAAAACCAGCGTTACCGAGCTAAAACACTCTCTTTCTCTTCCAACTCTTGAATCCCGCCGCTTGATCACCCGTCTATGCCTTCTACACCGCTTCTACTATCATCCACGCTCAAGACATCAGTTGCTCCAATCTGCTCACAGAACTTCATCGCGCATAAATCACAGCAGGCCCATTGCACGCTTAAATGGCCGGACGACAGCATTTATCACCTCATTTTTTCCTAATGCAATAGCCCTCTGGAATGCCTTACCGGATGACTCCGGTTCGTGCGCCGACAGGGAAACGTTCCGCGCAAAACTGAACGAACATTTTTTCAAGCCTTTCTCCTGATAATCTCAACTACTTCGTATTTATCCCCAATCGTTTTAGAATTGTACTTATTTTGCTCTGCAATTGTTTAACATATGTAAAGCATTGTGTATTCTTCTTTATCCTGTTCTAGTTCGTTCATGTGATTTCTGATTATTGTCTCCTGTGTAAACTTATTTGCTTTTATTCATTTTTTTTTTTGCTGCTGAACATTGTACCCTATCTTGTTACTTGTCCCCCCTTATGTAATGCCTTCGGGCCTTTAAGGGCGAAATAAATGAAATGAAATGAAATGAAATAGAGCAAGTTGACTGTGACAGAGAAACAGCAACACTTCTACAACCAGCATGAGGTTTGGTCCGCTTTATAATAGAACATTAGCCTAACCATTGGTGACAAAAGGTGATCGGAAGTCCCAAACTTCAAGTTGCCCCATAAATTGTGTGGTAATTTTTGCTCGTTCAAGCTCAAAAGCAAGTAGTAGCTGATATTGTATTAAGTTATTTGTTGCAAAGCATTAACAGATCCCTTTGGAATCCAAGGACCTGTCTGAGATGGTAGCTAACGGCTGTATGGGGACGCGGATGATATGACGCAAATAATCGATTCAGAATCTTTCTTACACTACTATTACTACTGCTGCTACTACCACTACTACCTCTACTACCACTGTGAGCACCACGATGTAGAGATGCCTTCAGGAAGGTGTCTACGACTAATTAATGATTCTTTTTCTCCCTCTTTTTATGCGGGGGGGGGGGGGGGGGGGTGGCAAGTATAGAAGCAGGCGCCGTGCCTTAGCCTGGCTGTTTTGGTGGCGGCTGCCACTTTTGGCTCGCTAGCTCTCATGACAAAGCGTTTGTGTTTTAGTGCACGGCAGCTGACCCGTTGCCCCCATGGCGCAGGCATGCGGCGTCCCGGGAGGCCGGCCGGACGATGCCCGCCATGAGCCCTGCGGCGGCCAGCCCGCTTCCTCTTCTGCTTAGCGAGGAATGCGATTAAGACCGGTGAGTACAGAGGTGCCACGCCGGCCGCCGCCGGCCATCACTGGCAGAATTTTGCTCCTCTTCTCGTGGTCTCCGATTCCTTGTACATACGCAGGCAGGGCTCCGTCGATGAGAAGATTTAAATAGTAATCGTGAATGTGCGTGTTTTACACGACATGAACATTAGCAACTCGGCGCGAACGCAGGCGAACGACGCAAGTGTTGTACCATGTCGAGTACATCAATCATTGGGAATGTTTTAAGGGGCGCTGAAGTTAAACACCGAGTTTGTACTGTGATGAGTCATACTTCCAGTTTTTTTTTTGTTGGTAATATTACCGTCATGCATAGTTTCGTTATTAAAAGTGAGGATTAGGGTTATCGTTTAATTTCCGAACTTCCCGCCGAAACTTCAGTCCCTGAATGTTAGTGTGACGTCACTTATTTGAATGTTCTTTCGTTTAGTAACGTTGGTTCTTTTTTGTCATACCTTGGACACATTTGCCCAATTAATCTTACTAACACTGTCTTATGTTGAATCTCTCGATCACTTGGAACTCGGTGATTGTTTTTTATCGATAAAGAATTATGCAGACCCTGCTACAAGCATGCAGTCAAAATCTTTGACGTCAAGCGAATAAATGCGGAAACTAGAAGGTGGCATCGCGACCTGTATTTTCCTTTACGCGATTTCTCCCTTACCAAGCGTCTCCTTGATGCGCCTGGTAAGCGCATCAAATTATCTGTCCTTTTCTTATCGTGAAATAGTAATTTAGTAATAGAAAAAAATTGTTTTCTCTTGTTCTCGTCCACCGTAACTTGTGGCGAAACTTAATAGAAATAAGAACCTATACCAGGTCGCTGCACGGAACTAGGGTAATGCATTTGGCCGCCGCTTGAAGCAGGCCAGACATTTTTTTTATATATTTAACCTAATTAGATAATTTTTATTTAGAAAGCCGCCTTTCGAGTGTTGAAATTGTCGCAAAAGTTTCAACAACGCGAAAATTGGTGGCCATCTGGAACTTTTCTGGATGACCTGAAACTTATCGTATGGCGATAGATGATATGCGGCAATATCACTTTAAACAAGTTCGAACTAAACGGTGCTTTTTCTCGGTTTACGTGATCGCGCAGTCTTAATTGACGACAGCGACTGTGCTCTCTGTATGGGACCTTGGAGTTTCCTCATGTAAAATGTGAAGCGTTCTCTGCTTCTGCGTACCCAAGTTAAATTTGAAGCATTGTAGAAATGGTTCTTTGTCCGGCGATATACGCCACAGAAATTAAGAAGCCCCGCTACCTGGTCAACCAACACGAAACCAAATTTCTTTCTTTGCAGGGAAGAAACTCCGTTGGTTGTATGTGTGCACCGATTTGTCCGGCGGAAGATGCAATTACTCTGATATATGAGAGATCGAGCAGAAAGAGAGGAAGAGAACGAAATAGAAAGAGAAAAGTAGAAATACGTAAGGAAACGTGAAGTACAAAAGGTATCGAAAAAGATGGATAAAGAATGATGAGCAAGACAGAAAGCGAGAAATATAGCGAAACAAAAATCTAGGAACGAGAAAAAAAGGAAGCGAGAAATAAAGAGAGAGGAAAAGAAAATATGGAAAGAGTAGAAGGGAATGAAAGCAGTGATAACAAAAAAGTCACAGCTTTGCTGCAAAGGCGAATCAATGAATGCAATAGGAACTAATTGGAACGTCACGCGCAAAATGGTGTGCAGATTGAAACGTGCCCCGCGTTTTTCACGCACAAATGACGCACGAAACGTACTCACAGGTACGGATGAACGCTAATAAGCGTCTCAAATGTTACTTCGCTTTGTCTGACAAGCGCCCTTTACGCAAACGGATGCTTTGCAATGATTGCAGTGACCGTTGTGCGCCCCGTAACTACAATAGAATAGTTCCACGCATCCTCCATTCCAGCCAAGACGCATGATCATCCCCACCGGTAGATAAGGGCGCGCAAGAGATCGTCCACTCATCGCCGCGGGCCAAAGTAGGCGCGAGAGATGAAAGCAGCCGTGCGCGCGTATTGCGCTATCTTGCTGATAAAGCTGACAACACAATAATCCACCACCCCCCCCCCAAGATGCCCGCCAACAGCGGTAAATGGTAGATTTAAATAGCTTGCTGTTTAAGCGTTCAAGGAGGTACCCTTTGGTGGCTGTGTGGTTAATGCCTCGCACTCACGACGTGGAGGTCCCACGTTCGTTTTTCTTTTTTCGTTATATATATATATATATATATATATATATATATATATATATATATATATATATATATATATATATATATATATATAAATGTGTGTGTGTGTGTGTGTGTGTGTGTGTGTGTGTGTGTGTGTGTGTGTGTAGATACGTACACATATATGGTTCATACATCGACGCCACTGGCGAAGTCCAGCTTAGAGTGTCCATATAATTGCTATCGCAATAAAACACGTTGAAAAAACAGAGAGAAACGGAAAACTAGGAATAAATATACTTTCTTCGAGCTCATCACCGCTAGTGCGAAGCTGTCTTTTTTAATAACAGAAGTTTTTGTGGGGTTTCCAGCTGGCAGTTGTACTACATACGTCCTCTGTTCGCCCGTCTGTTCGGACAACTCTAGAGCGCGCACGTTCGATTATCGCAGCGCGTGCGTTGCGCAAGAGCTATACCTTCGCTAGAGAACGCCACGTGGCCGCTGTTTCACGCTCTCTTTGCTGCCTACGTGCTCGGGCGTAAGGCGAACCGAGCGGTCGTGTCAGTTTTCACGCTCTTCAATCTTTCTTCAACACCCGTGAGCCCTATGCTCGCTTTCTTTTTGTTGTTGTTGTTGTTTTTGCTCGCCGGATGGCGTTACGGAAGAGTTGGCAACAAGGTCGCCTTTTCTGCGCGAGCGCGCCGTAACTCTGTGGCCCTGTGAGTCACAAATGCAGTAAAATGAAGACAACTAAAAAGCTCTAGTGCCTTGATTTAAGGAACGGGGAAAAGAAAAAAAAACTTGATGACGCACGAGCAAAATTTGATCCGCGTTTAGTTGCGAGAAAACGTACACTAAAACAGGACGACGAAAACATCAACGCTCACGTGTTGAGAACTCGATCTAACGTGTCTGGGGCGTGGTTTGGGAGATTGGAGGCGAGCAGCCTTCCTAACTCTTCCTTCTCTCTCTCTCTCTCTTTCTTGGTCTGGAGTACGGGAAAAGTACTGAGGCCTACACTGATTTGAGTGCTGGCTATGTTGAAAATGTGAAAACGGCATAGTCAAAAACCGCCGCAGCTGCCCTCACGTTGCGCTGAAAATGCACTCTGAAGGTTTCGAACTCCAACCATTATTTTCTTCTTAGCAGACACTTTGATATATATATATATATATATATATATATATATATATATATATATATATATATATATATATATATATATATATATATTGATGCATTGTGGTATCAATATTGCAGTATTGCGCAACTATGCAAGCTAATGTCTTTAAGTTTTTCAGTCTTACATATGCACTAAACATTCGCTTACTAAGCATGGTGTCACGCCTGCGCAGGCAAACATGGACAAATACTCTGGTGCGATGAGAAGCACCAACACAGCGGAGCAAACGCTACGCGGGTCATCTCTGAACCTTCAAATAATATTGAATAGGTGCACCTATTCAATGATCGTGATGGTCATCAGTCTTAATGACTCGCCCAGCATTTTCACACGCCGGAAGTCACGTCCATTGGCATAAAAGGGGGGGGGGGGGCGTTCAGAACCCTCTCATAATTTTTCAATTTTGCATGCGTGTACATGCACACATAAATACGCACGCATGAACGTGCATACAGGGTAGTTAAGTGCCACCCCGGAAAAAGTTTCTGGTTCACCCCTGATTACCTACGGCATCGGGAGCGCGGGTCAGGTTTAGTGTATTTGGCCACCGAGGAGGACGGCCGCGCACAGGAGACTCGCGCTCACTTTCCTCCTCACTCCTTGTGCCATCGCCTTGCACGCGCTCGCCCCGCCGCGGTGGTCTAGTGGCTAAGGTACTCGGCTGCTGACCCGCAAGTCGCGGGTTCAAATCCCGGCTGCAGCGGCTGCATTTCCGATGGAGGCGGAAATGTTGTAGGCCCGTGTGCTCAGATTTGGGTGCACGTTAAAGAACCCCAGGTGGTCAAAATTTCCGGAGCCCTCCACTACGGCGTCTCTCATAATCATATGGTGGTTTTGGGACGTTAAACCCCACATATCAATATCAATATCAATTGCGCGCGCTCGATCACGTGACCACCAAAATCTCTCTTGTAACCACCTTGAGCTTGGCTCACCCTCAGACTCTTCATCTTGAACCGACAACTTACGGCGCACGAGGTGCGATTTGACCGCGCATCACACCTTGAAGGGCCTTATAGCGGCACATCACGGCGACGACGACGATGGTGAGAGTGTGCCTGGAATGAACCTGTGAAATAAAAATGGGTAACCTTTCAGCTTCGCCTTCCAAAGTAGAACGCAGTAGCGTAATCGGGCCCCGGGCGTATCGCTTTCTCAATTCCTAGCTTCGCTTCGGTTCCTGCTGCATGCGGTGGTCTAGTGGCTAAGGCACTCGGCTGCTGACCCTCAGGTCGCGGGATCGAATCCTGACGCGCGGCGGTAGCTTTTTCGATGGAGGCGAAAAATCTTGAGGCCCGTGAGGTGCACTTTAGAACCCTAAATGGTCGAAATTCCTGAAGCCCCACACTATAAAAGTCAAACTCTGGCCAGGCGGCGCTGCGAAAATGCCCACATTTTCAACATAGCCAGCACTCAAATCAGTGTAGGCCTCAGTACTTTTCCCGTACTCCAGACCAAGAAAGAGAGAGAGAGAAAGAGAAGGAAGAGTTAGGAAGGCTGCTCGCCTCCAATCTCCCAAAGGGCAAATAACATGGGAGGTAGGAAAGCTTCAGTCGACGATAGATTATGCACTGATGTCACATAGGATGTATGATAAGCCCAGGGGAATGCACATAGATGAAGGTGGCTCCAGAAGT